CAGAGAGAAATGCACTGTAACCAGCATTTACAACATTTGCTGCCTTCCTTCCTTAAATAAGAGCAATAATTGCCACCTGTTTTTCAAAGAATGAATGACCTCACTAATAGAACTCCACACTGCTATTATTTTGAACATGCCCCTTTTAATAAGTGATTCAATTACACAGAATGGGCAGCATGCATGTTATGACTGTTGGGTCTGTTGGATTTCTATTACTATACTACACCTGCTAGAAAATTATTTGCCATGTAGAAATATAATTTCTACCAAAAACAGTGATTGGTCAGGTTAGTGATGTCTGACTGCTATTATTTTGAACACAACTGTATATTGCAGGGTTTTTGGTTTTTTTTTTTCTCAAAAAAAGTGGAGTTACACTTCCATCAAGTTAAATGCTCTTTGGAAACAGCATCAGCCTCCCAGCTACACATCTGTAGGGACATCCAACCCAAGCAAAACAAAATTAGATACTTGTAAGAAGCCATCACAGCTTAAACAGAAGGCTCCAGATGTTTACTCAAATTTGTTTCTGCCAACTCAGGTCGAAGGGCCAAACCAATCAATTCAAATGTAACCCTTACTGTGGTAAAACTGGCAGTGGCAGGAAATATAAAATGGTGCAAATAGGGAGGTAGCTCCTGATGCTGCAGCGGGGACTGGCTGAAGCAACTGCTATAGGGGGAACTCAGAAAAACAAACTACTGTATTTAATGCACAGTGGGCAAGTGGTTAGCACCTCTGCCTTGCAGCACTGGGGTCTTTGTTCGAGTCCTGATCAGGACATTATCCGCATGCTGTTTCAATGTTTTCCCTGTGTTTGCGAGGATCATCTCCCACACTCCAAAGACATGCTGGTAGGTTATTTGGCTCTTGTCTGAAATTGGCCCTAGTATGAGATTCTACTGTGTATGCCCTTATGGCTGCCTGACCAACTGCCCCAATGACAAATAAAGCACTCTAAAGCCCCAGGAAGAAAAGCACTATAGAAATACAAATTCATTCATAACAGCATATTATGTCATTGTTTGATATTGCTCATAGATCTACCTAAGTGCAAGTTTCATTTATACACAAGAAATAGAGGCAATCTCTTGGAAGGGGGAACCTTAAGTTGGCCATAGACAGGTAAATTTTTTTTATTCAGCCACTTTGGGCTGAATGAAAAAACACAAATTGATTCCTCCATTTTCCAGCATGTCCCTTTTATCAACTGATGTTGATCAGGGACGACCACACACTGATTGAAATGCAGCTAGGCCCTGCTGAATTGGCCAGATTTCAATCCATCTATAGTATAGCCAGCTTTAGACAGTTAATGGAACAAGTGTCCCCATTAGAAAAGCTGCCCTCTATATTTCAGAGTCAACTCAAAATGATGTATTTAATTCACCCAATTCATGTTAAAACTAGACGAGTACAGAGAAAGCCAACTAAATTAAGAAAAAACATGAAAGACATAACCTGAGGACATACTAGCTGAACTGAATATATTCACTTTTGAGTACAGCCAGTTAAAGGGGAAACTATCACCTTGGTAAAAACACAAATGTTTCACATACTAAACTTGGTGTAGAGTTGATCACCCTAGAGTCATCACAAAAACCAGTCTGCACCTGAAGAAAAAGAGGATTAACCCCCATGATTTTCTGTCTGCAAGAGCTGTGAAAATGTGGAATAGTTCTTCCCAGGATCTGTTTCTAGCAAATTCTAGATAGCTTCAATATAGGGCTGGATGCGTTTCTAAATGCACATACTGTATTTTTCGCTCCATAAGACGCACTTTTTCCCCCCCCAAAAAAGGCGGGGGGAAAATGTCAGTGTGTCTTATGGAGCGGCCGGTCCGGTATTCCTGCCGCCACCACGTCAGAATACCGGGCCGGCCGCTCGTCTCTTCTCTGCAGCAGAACCTTACCTGTTCCTCGGTCCATTGCTGTGCAGTCTTCCGGCACCGGCTTCTTTAGTGTGGGCACCCGGCTGCGCTTTGTGAATGGTACGGCGTCTTCTGAGACACATGACAGGTCCCAGAAGACTCTGGACCAATCACAAAGCGCAGCGCTTCTCGCGCATGCGTAGTGGGCACCCGGTTGCTCACACTAAAGGGAGGACAACTCCATGGAAGTGGTAGCGGGTACCTGTCAAATTCAGGTACCTGCTCCCCCTCCCTCCCCAAAGGTCCGCTGGTCATCTCCTGTACTATGTCTGCAGTCTCTGATCATCTCCTGTACTGTGTCCGCAGTCTCTGGTCATTTCCTGTACTGTGTCTGCAGTCCGTTGGTTCAGGATATTTTTTTTCTTGTTTTCCTCCTCTAAAACCTAGGCACGTCTTATGGTCAGGAGCATTTTATAAAGCAAAAAATACAGTAATTTAAAGCAGGGGAAGGCAACCTTTGAGAGGTGGAGATCTACCTGAACAACATGAAAGATCAAAAGATCACTGGGGTTCAGCGCCTTTAAAAAAAAAAAAAAAAAAAAAAAAAAAACTAGCAAGGCCTAACCAAATAGCAAGGAAAATGTAGAATAATATAATAAAACAAAGGTCACTGTAAAAATACAAACTTAGCCTACCTAAAAAAATGGACAATATCAGTCAGTCAGCAGGGCAGTGGATGGAGTCAGTCAGTAGGGCAGTGGACAGTATCAGTAGGGTGGAGGTTGTTGTCTGTCAGTACAGTAGTAGATGGTGTCAGTCAGCAGGGCAGTGGACAGTGCAGAGGATGGTGTCAGTCAGTAGAGCAGTGGATGGTGTGAGTAGAGCAGTGGACAGTGTCAGTAGTTTTTATTTTTACATTATTATTTTTTAATATTTTTTTCACAATTACTTTAGGAGCTCTGTTGAAAGGGGAGCACTTGGTGGAGGGGCCAGGCAGCAGAAAAAAAAGGAGGGGCAGCAGGGGAGGTGTTTACTAGAACCTATCCCCTGGATTTTCCTCCTGCAGCAGCTGTACGGTGGTGGGAGGGTGAGGAGGAGATGCTAGCTTTCAGCTGCTCCTGGAGGACAATAAAAGGGATTGTTGGAAGGCAGGTATTTAAAGAATCTGAACTCCCAGCAAGTGGCTGGGAATCAGGATTTTTCTGCCCCCTCCAGCTACCCTGGTGCCCTAGGGCACCAGCATAGGCTGCTTAGGCAGCTGCCTTAGGGCACCAGTGTGGTGAGGGGGCAGGAAAATCCCAATCCCCAGCCATTTGCTTGGGATTCAGATTCCTAAAATACCTGTCTGTGGGAGGGAATCCCCTTCCCTCCCACAGACAGGTATTTTAGAAATCTGAATTCCCAGCAAGTGGCTGGGGATTGTGATTTTCCTGCCCCCTCCTGCACTGGCGGAGGACACTGCTGGTGGGGGAAAGAAGGAGCCAGAGGTCTCTGCTATGGGGGAAAAGGGAAGGGGGTGATATGAGGGGCAGTAGAGGACATTGCTATGGGGGTGGCCCTGCCCATAGCAGTTTCCTCTGCACATCACCTCCCCCCTTCCCCAGTAGTGTCCTCTGCCTCCACTCTCCACTGTGCACTGAGAATAACAGCAGTAGCAGAGGAGGCTGGGGGAAAGGGACCTGTTCGCAATCTACTTCTCACCTTCCCACGGTTGACAGGTAGATCGCGATTGACGGGTTGCTGACCCCCGATTTAAAATCAGAAGGAATCATTTTACATGTTCCACCCTAAAAATGGGAATATATCATGTTCTCAGAGGCGAACTTATCTTTTACGTTTCCGTAAATCAGGATCCAGGTAGTGTTTGATTTTCTTTTGCAAACAAAAATTATTTTTTTCTTCTGGTAGAGCAAATTAAACCATGCCTCGTTATCATCACTTTGTAGGTTCACCTTCAGAGCTGCATGGTAAAGTACACCTGTTGTGAGAGAAACATGGAAGCTGCCACTACTGACAACCCCTTCTGAGAATGCTAATTGCCTAGCTGTCACACTGACCCAACTTCTTCAATCTTTTGACAGAGAAAAAGTATGCATAAAAAGACTTCTGGCCTTTTGAACTTTCCTAATTTTGTATATTCCTTCAGGAACAAAGTATTAAAGAAGCACTAAAGGCAAACATTTGTTTTTCATTTTGGATAGAGTAATGGAGGGTTATAACCCCTGTAAGGTTTATATTTGCCATCTGTGTCCTACTGGGGAGATTTCTCTTCACTGTCCCATTGCCAAAACAGGAAGCAAGAAAACAAATCCCTATAAAGTTCAGGAATCCCTGACTGTCACCAGAACTAATGTCCCCCTTGAAGATATTACCACTATTTGGCTAAAAGGTTAACACTTCCGCCTGGCAGTACTAGGGTTGCTGGTTTAAATCCCAACCCCAGCACCACCTGCCTGGAGTTTGCATGTTCTCCCTGTGACTGTGTGGATTTCCTCTGGGTACTCCAGTTTCCTCCCACACTCCAAAGACATGCTGGTAGGTTAATTGGCTCCTGTCAAAATTGGCCCTAGTATGTGTATGTATGAATGTGAGTTAGGGACCTTAGATTGTACGCCCCTTGAGGGTTAGGGACTGATGTGAATGTACAATATATGTATGTAAAGCGCTGCGTAAATTAACTGCGCTATAGAAGTACCTGAAATAAATAAATTTGTGTTCTGGGGACAACCCAAAATTTGGGATTTTCTTTCACCTTTGGTGATGATGGTAAACATGAAAAACAGAGAATGCATCTCCATAATGGGGCACTGACAGCAATAAAAAACCTGACAGGTGTTCTAATCCATCTCCACAATTCTGCCTTTAGCTGTACTTTAGGTTAGTAGGTCAGCTGAAGCTGATGATCTTTAGACTAACATTTTAAAGAGATGGAAAAGGAGCTAAACAAAAGTTTTTTTTTTTCCCCAAGTACAATTTAAGAATCATTTATTTATGCCAAGATACTTGATCTCTAGCACATCTCACAGTCGTGTGTTTGATTTGATTTTTTTTTCTCAGTAAAAACTGTACAATAATAGATAATAAAAAACAATCACAGTAATATACTGCCTGGTCCACAAAACACAAATTACAGATCTGTATGTTCAGGTTCCCTTGTGGAAGGCTCTCTTGTCTTGTCTTCCTGCTGCCTTGAATCCTCATATTTGATACTTGCAAATGCTACTTCGTCTGCTAACTGGTCCAGTGATGGGCGGCCCACAATGAGATTTCGCAGAGAAATGACTGTCATCAGGAAACTGAGCCAGACAACAAAAATACATAAGGAATTGTAATAGATTTTAAAATGCAGTATAATAAAAGCTCTACAGAATGATGCAATTCTTAGTTGCATTTCATACATAAAGTGTATGTCTATGGTCAAAAAATAATTATATTCACTTGCACACTAAATTGCAACATGTTTCTAGACTATTCCTATTAATCTGAATGATCTTAAAGTCTGTACATTTAGTTTGTGAAGATCCCCACACATTTACTTCAAACGTGCAGAGAGGAGGTGCTACAAGAGGCATAGTGCGTATGAGAATCACAGGTTGCAGGCAGCAATATACCAGGAAAAAGGGAGGATTTCCAGAGTCCTGTACTGTACTTCCAAGAAAAGGATTTCACTTAATTGTACATTGCCAGATGCTGGGATGTCCCCACACAATACAAAATGGTAGCAGGCAACACAGCAAGTAATGCCAATAGGCCCAAAAAAGGAAAAAACACGGGAACCAAACTCAGAGAGCAGCTTGAAGCACCTTATGGCTGAAGTTGGCTTCTGCAGAGGTTTGAACATCCTCCTGGTAAGACAATGTCTGAACAGAAGACCATGTGGCAGCCTTGCCAACCTGAGAAACAGACACCAAATGCCCAAGAGGCAGTGAGAAACATACAGTTGTGTTCAAAATAATAGCAGTGTGTTGAAAAAAGTGAATAAAGCTCAAAATCCTTCTAATAGCTTTTATTTCCATAAACACAAATGCATTGGCAACACTACACATTCTATTCCAAATCAAAACATGAAGAAAAATATATCAAATTTTGTGTTGTTCCTCTAAAAAATTAAAGAAAAGTAATATTAGACTGTTCAAAAAATAGCAGTGTTTGTATTCTTCTTTACAACCTCAAACATTCACTATATAAACTGAAAAATGTTTGAAGATTTTGCTTTCTTTTGAATCAATTAATATTTAGTTGTATAACCACTGTTTCTGAGAACTGCTGTACATCTATGTTGCATGGAGTCAACCAACTTCTGGCAATTCAGTTCGGGGGAGGAGCCCGAACATGGCGGCCGAGGAGAGCGTGAGGCACTAGCAATCTGCTATGCTCCGCTTTCCATCCTTCCCAGGGACCTTCCGAAACAAAAAATGAAGGGGCAGACTCACCGCAGTTAGGTGGGCCGAGGAGGAGAGGTCGGAGAGCAGGGGAGGTGAGTGGCCCGTGAAGAGAGGCAGGAGCCAGGTCAGCCGGAAGAAGAGGAGACGCGGCGGGACCATGTGATGACTAGCCGCGGAGGATCTCTGGGAGGAGGTGAGACCGGCCGGCATCCCGAGCAGAGAGGGAATTGTCGGTTCACTCCTAGCCTCGCTCCCGGCGCGCAGGACTAAGCCCTGGACCCTGAAAAATTAGGAGAAGCAGTCTGTTGCCTTGTGATGACCCCTAAGTGACCGAAAAGCCAAAGGAGACCCGGAGGAATCCCCTAGGACTGAGAAAAGCCCTCTACCCGACGACCAGAGCCTCTTACAAGTAAAGAGACTGGTGAGTGAGAGCGGCTGGGGCTTTTTTTTTCACATACTGGAATATTGTGTGTGTATTATAATCTCCTGTGGCAGAGGGGAGGAAAAAGGTGAAAGAGAGGAGGGGGGATTCCCAAGGGTCAAGAAGAGGTGGAGAAGAGAAGAGGAATAAGGAGACACAGAAAAGTAAAAGGAAAAATAGCAAGGCAAGGCTGGGTTAACAAGCTATAGACATATGACATACATCTCTATAAGGGGTCATAGAAGAAAACAAGACCCATAGAGGACATGAAGAATAAAGGAATTAAAGGAGCAGGGCTCAAAGGGTCCCAAACGGGAACGATCAAGAATATACTACTCAAGGAAATAGTACTCCAGAAAGGCCCCAAGATGCTAGTGAATAAGGTGAAATGGAAAATCAGTTTGGGAAGTAACCCTAGATTATCACTGGACATGAATAGCAGCTGTAGTCAACAAACGGTGGAAAGGCAGGAGAAAAACGAACCTGAGGGTGAACTACATGTACCAAATAAAAAAGAGATGATAGAAAATGTTTCAAAGTCTGGAGAAAATGATAAAGCAAGAAATGACATCTATTCGGAATGATTTGGGGCACCTGTTGCTGAGAGTGGAGTAAACAGAGGAAAAGTTAAAAAATCAGGCCCAAACCATTGTTTAAACTAGAAAGGAAGATAATAAATTATGGACTTTATTCAGAAAAAACTTCTTTATAGAATGGAGGTTCAAGAGAATAAAGAAAGAAGGAGTAACCTTAGGGTACGAGGAATCCCAGAGTCTGTAAAAGGGGAATCACTGTATGAACTAGTTAGTAAAATTCTAAACTCCATAATGGATAGAGCGGAATCAGAAGTGATTAATCTGGATGGAGTGTTTCAGAACAGGAAAGCTCAAACAGATCATGGGGAAGGAGAGACGAGGGATACAGTTGTTCAATTTCAAAAATCTGGGGACAAAGATAAGATTTGGAGGAAGATTAAAGGAAGATCAATAATTAAATATAGAGATTAGATATCCAAATCTATGCGGACTTAACATCAGAGACCCTATGGAGAAGAAGATCCTTGAGACCTTTATTGGAACAAATGAGAAAGCAGAAGGTGCAGTATAGATGGGGAACCCCAGAATGCCTAATTGGATGGAGAAACGGAGTTACAGCCTATCTGAGATTTCCAGAGGAACTGAGAGTCTTTTGTGAGAGATTGGACTTGCAAAGAATGGAAATAGAAGTATGGGAAGAAGAAAAAGGAGAATTAGAAGACATAAGAAAAGAGGACTGGCTGCGGGTTAGGGGAGGAAGAGGGGGCGGTTTGGGGCGGGGGGGAGAGAGGGAGGGGAGAATAGAGACTCGGTTGTTTTTTTTTTTTTTTTGTCTCTCCCTTCCATTCTCCTCATTTCCCACCCACCCCTTCTGAAAATAGGGTATTTCTTCCGGACTGATTTCTTCTTTTTTTTCTGAGTCAAATTTTTAGAGAGAGGTAAACTGGGGAGGATGGAGGAGAGGTGAGCCCGCCCATGGGCGGAGGTCAACCCCAAAGTCTTAAATCAAGGGTGGGAATGATCCCACAAATGATTAGTAGGCACTTTACAAGCCTAAAAAGGGGTGGGGGGAAAGGGGAGAGAGGGAGGGGATGAGAGTTGGGTGGGAGGGAGGGAGGGGAGGAGGTATTGGGTCAATACTCTGCATGACAGAAGGGATAAAGAGGAAGAGGCAATCTGGAAGAGAGATGGAGTTAAATTGGGAATGATGGAAGAGAAATACAGTTTATAACCTATAATGTGAACGGGTTGAGTTGTCCAGGGAAGAGATTTAGGTTGTTTAATGAGTTACATCATAGGGCTACGTCAGTGGTATTTCTACAGGAGACGCATTTTGAGATAGAGGCAAACGTGAAATTGAAATCCAAACACTACCCAACATGGTACTATGCAGATTCTCCAATTAAAAGAGCAAAAGGGGTTGCAATAGGTTTGGCAAAGAATATGAGATTTGAGCTGGAGGATAGGAGAACCGACCCGGAGGGGGAGGTTTTTATTCTTAAAAGGTAGACTCCAGGGGATTAAGTGTACTTTAGCCAATATATACTGCCCTAATAAAAACCCGGAGATGTATATGAAGGGTCTGCTGAAAAAATTAATGGAATTTAAAAAAGGGCGCCTGATAGTAGCTGGAGACCTAACTTTCTGTATGGACCCACAAAAGGATAATACCTCTTCTGTGCAAAGAGAGGGGAGTAGGTCTCTGAGAGCTCTAAAAAAAGTGATGCATGAATATCAACTAGTGGACACTTGGAGAATAAAGCATATGAAAGACAGAGACTATACCTTCTTCTCTAATGCACATGAGATATACTCGAGATTAGATTACATCTTAATAGACCATCAACTTATAGATCATCTGGTTAAAATTGACATAGAGACAAGGACGTTCTCGGATCATGCTCCGGTTGTAATGAAAATGGGATGGGGAAGAAGGTGGACGGGAGGATTAGGGTGGAGGTTAAATGAGGTTCTTCTTCTGGATGAGGATGTAGTTCAGAAAATCGAGAAAGAGATTAAGGTATACTTTAAGGAGAACGAAACAGAGGAAGTATCGATAGCTACAGTCTGGGAAAGCCATAAGGTATTCATAAGAGGAATCATGATTGCGGCAGGAGCAAGGAAGAAAAAGGAAAGAAGAGAGAGGGTCAGTGGGCTCTTAAAAGAAATATTGGACTTGGAGCAGATCCATAAGAAGAAAATAACAAAAAGATACGAGACAGAGGTTATTGGATAAAAAAAGATGAGTTAGAGAGGTTGATGGATGAGGAGAAGAGAAGAGTATACAACAGGGTTTTGAACGAGAGATATAGATGGGGAGACAGACCAGGAAGATATCTAATGAGAGTTTTGAATAAAAAGAAAAATAGGAACTATATAGAAAAGATAAAAAGTTCAAAGGGGGAGTTGGTCCACTCAAATAAAGAGATTATTAAAGTGTTTACGGAGTATTACAAAAAGTTATATAATATTAGTCCCCAAGGCCCTCTAAAAGAAGCCCAAGAGGGAATTAATGAAAAAAAGATGACATACTTAAAAAATGCGGGATTACCAAAACTAAGTGAAGCACAGTTGAACTCCCTAGACGCAGAAATCTCCCAGGAAGAAATTAAAATAGCATTAAGAAGCACAGGGGGGGGGGAAAAGCCCCAGGCCCGGATGGATATACAGTTAAGTACTATAAGAAATTTAGTGAAGTACTGTTACCCAAGCTGGAGAAATATATGAATGCTCTGGGAGGTGGGATGGAAGTGAGGAGAGAGAATCCCTACAGGCCCATGTAGTACTTATTCACAAGGAGGGGAAAAGATCCATCTCAGTGCTCCAGCTATAGACCCATCTCATTATTGAACACAGACACTAAACTGTATGCAAAGGTGTTAGCAAACAGATTGAGGGATCTGATGCCTGAATGGATCCATGGAGACCAGGTGGGCTTTGTACCGGGGAGAGAA